GAGGGTGGCAGAGCCCTGGGCCAGGCTGCCCAGAGAGGCTGTGGAGGCTCCTTCTCTGGAGACATCCCAACCCCAGCTGGAGGTGTTCCTGTGGGACCTGCTGGAGGTGACCCTGCTCTGGCAGGGGTTGGGTGGATGATCTCCAGAGGTCCTTTCCCACCCCAGCACCCTGAGGCACTGCCCACGAGGCTGGGTCCCACTCACCCATTTGTTGAAGAAGGACACGAAGCCGTACCCTTTGGATTTGCCCGTCGCCATGTCCTTCACCACCCGGGCATCTCTAGGGAAGCAGAAAGCAGAGGGAAGTCAGGACCTGGACAGGGACCCTCCTGCTGCCCCCACAACTCCAGTCACCCCTCCAGCTTCCCCTCCACTTCCCCCTGCCTCACACCTCAACCCTTCATCACACCAGCACCACAGTCAAAGCCAAGGCTGCTGCTCTAAACACGGGGGCTTCTGTCCACGAAGGAAGCAGCAAAATTAAAACCTCAACCTTGATTAAACATGCAAATCACCACCAGCTTCTCTGACAAAGGTACTTGAGGACAGTTGGTTGTTAAAAAGACACCAAGCATGGCCAAAGCAGCTGGGGGAAAAGAGGCACTTAGGGCAGCAGCTCTTTTTTAGCTGAACCAACCATGCAGCTTTTGTTTGAAACCCTCTTGGCCAACACATTCTACCTACACATTCCATATATTAAATAGATAGATAGATATAAAAAATAAAATATAGGAATTAAAGGCATACGTGGCTTGTTTAACTGAATTATTTCATTGTCTCAGGTCAATTTGTCACCCCCTTTTTGGCCTGTAAATGTTGAGAGACATTGGATAATTTCAGACAGGGTTGAAGGCAACAGCTCAACATTCAGCTCTTTTTTTTTTCCCCCCAAGAACAAAAAAAACACCCAAGCAAAGGGGGATGATCCATCATTTCCAATCAGCCAGGACTGATTGGAACCCACTACAAGAAGAATGGAAGAAGGGAGGGAAAGGAAGGAAGAAAACAGCAACATGTTCTCCTGTGTGAACTGTAGGTTGTGGTTTAGCCATGGGATGTTGTCCACTCTTCAGAGTCACTCTGCAAAATAACCAGAGCCCTATTATTTGAGATGATGTCCCACCCAAAACCCAGCTCCAAAAGCCAAACCCCACTGGTGGGAAGAAGCCCCTTCCAGTGTCTTTTCTCAGGCAGTTTGTGTGTTAATTAATTGAGGGGTGAGATGGTCTCATGGGCAAAAAGCACCTCTCTCCTCCCTTCCTCAGCCCCCACAGGCACAAAAAGACCAGAAATCAGATCAAAACCAGTCAGAGAATCATACAGAGTCACTGGGGGAGGCAGAGAAACCAGCCAAGTGTCCATTTCAGCATCCAAGACTGGCCAGAAATGTCCCAGTGAAGAGGAAGTTCAGCAAACTCATTTTTGTTAAGCCTGTGGGGAGCTGCAAAGGTCACCCTCATTAGCCTAATTACAAAATACAACCCCCCCAAAAAAAAGCCACAGCAGCATTTGATGATTCCTCTTTCTCAGCCCCTTCCCCATCCCCTCTTTTTTTTTGCTCTCTCCCTTGCTGGGTTAGGTCAGAATTTGGGCTGCACGCTGCAAACTGCCTGAGAAAAGGGAAACTGAGATGGGGTTTGAGTCTCAAGAGCCTGTGGAGGGAAGGGGTGGGGGGGAAAGGGGGGGTTGTTGGAAAAACTCATCTCTACTTACCCTCAACTTTGAAAATCAAGACTTGAGAACAAGTGAGAACATGTACAGCAAGTAGAAAAGGAAACCACAATCAAAGTTGGGCTTTGAAAAGTGCTTAAAAAGAATCACCCCCATTTCTTTAGGTGCTAATCTAAGCAGTTCGACCTCAGGGTCATTTGATTCAACATAAAATAACAAGAGAGCTGAGTTTTGCACCAAAAAGAAAGAATTCCATGTTTATTTCCAGGAAATATTCCATTAGCACCACTTTTCCACTAGGTACTGGTGAAGAAAAGCTCAGGTGGCTTCATTTGAGGAGGCAGCAGGAGTGGTTTTTCAGGTTGAAATGAAAAATAAGGTCCTTTTAGATTTAAGCTCTTGGTTTTGGAATGAGGCTCAAAGGAGTCATGATGGGGACAATCCTGATCCTATGGCTTTTGTGGGGGGGAAAGAAGGGAATTTTGGTTGGGAGAGGCAGGGCCAAGGGGGGAGTTTTCCCCTCTGTTAGCTCCACACGTGTCCCCAAAGCCCTGGCTGTCCCTTTCCTCTCAGCACCCAGCAGCAGCAGCAGCTCTGCCTCCAAAAACCTCATCTGGAAAAGATGGGACAACAGGGAGTACAGACCATGTCCATCTTCACTGTGACTTTGTCCTCCTCCAGCTCACACTGAGAGGTTATTTTTTTATTGCAGGGTTTATTTTTGAGGGGGTAGGTCACTTGTTAGAGGTGGAACTGGCACCTCAGAGCTGGCTCAGTGAGGGGAATCCTCCTGTCCCAGCTCCCTGGGAACTGCCTGTCCCTGCCTCCCTTCCAGCTCTTCTGGAAAGTCCCTCATCCCTTCCATCCAGGTGACATTTGGAACTGCCTCTCCTGAGGAGTCCAACTCCTGGATGACAATGAAATCAGATGCATTTGTCTGAATCAAGTCCCATGTTTTGTTTTTCAAACCTTATCATGTAAGAGGAAATCAAGAGTCATACACTGGGCTCTGAAGGGGGGTAAAAAATAAAACAACAACCAAAAAAAACAAACAAAAAACAAACTTACTTCAATTAAATGCTTCACTACCCAACACTCCAAAGCACTCTATGTTCTTACATCACCATCAAGAAACTTCAATGTCCAGTACAGACAACACTACAAGGAAAATTAATGGTTTACATTGGGAGGCTGGAGTGAACAAACTGCTCCTTACTCTGCTCCACCCTGAACACCAGTGAGAGGCAAGTGGGGACCTGCCAGCCCTGTCCCCCATGTCACCCACTGCCCTGTGGTGTGGGAACAGTGCAGCTCCTTGCCCTGAGAGGCCCCGTGGCTTTGGCCCAACCCTGTGAGGCTGAGCTGGCACCAAAGGAGGTGGTTGCAGCCACAGCCTCTGGGTGCCCCAACTGAGCCTCGTGCTTCATTTGGTGGGAAATGGGGATTTAAACTGCAAAAAGCTCCCAGATATTGGGGTACTGGTACACCCCATGGCTAACAAAAACCCAAAGCCTCTCAAGATGTGAAGGTGCACAGTGTGATGGTGATTTGCACCAGGAAATGGCAACCTCAGCTCTTGGCACAGCCTGTCCCAGCATTGCTCCACCAGGAGCACCAAACCAAAACCAGTTGGATGCAACTTTTCTGGGACCAGCAGGATGATGAGGTGCCATCAAGAAATTGGGTTACACATCCCTGCTTAAAGCCACAACTCTTTGCTTACTGGAACATAAAGCTGCCTTGGTTTAGGAGAGAGAACTTGGTTTAGAGAGAGATGAACTCTTAGTTCATCTGCCCTCTGGGGGTTACTTACGATATCCTTCCAAAGGGGGCAAAAGCTGCTTTGATATCTTCAGTGGTGATTTCTGGGCTCAGGTCTCCAACAAAAACATGGAAATGGTCTTTTTGGGAAAGAGGAAACACAAGGAAAAGGGTCTCAGTGTATGAAGAAGAAGCCCCGAGGATGTGGGACTTCCCAGTTAGGGCAGAAACCACGTGGAGTTTTGCAAGGAACCCTCAGGATTTGATGGCTGTTCCCAAAGGATCCTTCACTTGGCAGAGCTGCAGTCAGTGAGGACACCACAGCGGGGTATGGAATTCCCAGTTTGGGGTTTACAAACTGCCCTTCAGACCAGTCAGAAAACCTTCAGACTGTTTTACTCCATGTGCCAGGATGACGGGAAAATCATTCCCTGCTAAAGTTACAGCTCGACACTAATTACACCAAACCTCATTAACTGAAACTCAATTATCTGAGTTAAGGCCACAGGTTGCGACGGACAAATCCAAACAATCCCTTGCAACCCTCTGAATTCCCAAAAGCCAATGATTCTGGTTCCCACCCCCACAGTTCCCTGTGTAGATCCATGTGCACATGAGCCAGAGCTGAAGGCAGCAGGAGGGAAACAGGGAGCCCTTCAATCCTCTGCAGAGCCATCAAACCACCAAGAGGGACACAAGTCCTGCATCTCAGGAGGTTCCCAGCAGGACCAAACCACCACACACCATCCTGGCAATGTGGAGACTGGTTTGTACCAGGTATGGAACTGCCAGCTCTGCTGGGATACTGGGGCACTGTAGCCCCACAGAAATCCTGTGCGCTGAGGACAGCAGAGACTCATGGGTGGAAGGGACCTGAAAGATCCAGTCCCAACCCCCTGCATGGGCAGGGACACCTCCCACCAGCCCAGGCTGCTCCAAGCCCCATCCAACCTGCCCTTCAACACCCCCAGGGATGGGGCAGCCACAGCTTCCCTGCCCAACCTGGGCCAGGCTCTCACCACCCTCACACCAAAGAATTCCCTCCTCATCTCCAACCTCCATCTCCCTCTCCCACTTTTCATCCATTCACCTCATCCCATCCCTCCCTGCCCTTGTCCCAAGTCCCTCCCCAGCTTTCCTGGAGCCCCTTCAGGCCCTGGAAGCTGCTCTAAGGTCTCCCTGGAGCCTTCTCTTCTCCAGGCTGAACACCCCAACTCTCCCAGCCTGGCTCCAGGGCAGAGCTGCTCCAGTGGACACTTTCTGCCACCTCAGGGAAACGAAAGGGAAGGTTTCTCATTTAAAAAAAATAATCAATTCCTAATTAACTAAACCCCACAGATACCTTCAGGTGGTCAGTGAACACCCCTGAGAGATTTCATTTCATGTTGAAGAAGATCCAGTTACCCTGTGAACACTGAGCTGACACCAGAGCTGCCTGACAGGTTAGATTTGATCCTAACTTAATAATTGACATCAACACATTCAATCATATCTTAGGATTATGATCCAAAACTACTGCCCAGAACTGTAGGATACTTTAAAAACAAGTCATTGCAAAACTACTTGTAAAAGTGACACTTACTGCTGGTATCTTTCTTCTGGCTGCTGGGGGTGGTTGCCCAGTTGACCTTCACCTCCTGCAAACACCAGGCACGTTAGATCCAGCAGCTCCCAGCAAAGCTCAGACCCCCCAACCCTTCATCCTGACACTACAGGGGGACCAGATGTCCCAGACTAGGGTGAAAGTTCAAGTTTAAGGCACTTTTTTTCCAACTGGTGGGAAACAGGGCTGCCCTGGGAGTGTGGTGGGTTGTTTTTTTTGCAGGGGTGGGGAGGGAAGGACACTGTCCTGCTAAGGTGGGCAGAGCTAAAACAATCCTTACACCCTTTGTCTCCCAGCTCTGCACCCCACACCTGCCCAGCTCAGCGGTGGCACATCAAGACCTCCATCCAGAGGCAGTGCCCAACACTGGGAGGGTGTCCCATTCCCTTCCAGTGTCCTTTCAGCCCGGGATGATCCCCCCCAGCCCCTGGTTCCCAGCTCCAACTCACCCTGGCCAGAGCACAGCTTACCTTACCCATTATCTTCCGGCCGTTCATGGCGGCCAGCGCTGCGGCCGCATGCCGGTGCTCGTAGAACTCCACGAAGCAGTAGGGATCATTCCCAGCTGTCTGGTCAAAGGAACAAACACAGGGTCACTGACACAGGCCTCTCCAAACTGCCCCTTCACTGTTCCACTCAGCTCTTCATTTGTTCCATCATCCAAGTCTCAAAAAATGAGTTTTTTCACTCCACCTGGGGACCAGGCACTAAGAAAACTCCAGGAGCTTTCAGGGTTAAAAAGGCAAAAGCATCAGAGACTCATGGGATGGGTTTGGGTGGGAAAGGACCTGAAAGCTCATCCAGATCCAACCCCCTGCATGGGCAGGGACACCTCCCACCAGCCCAGGCTGCTCCAAGCCCCATCCAACCTGCCCTTCAACACTGCCAGGGATGGGGCAGCCACAGCTTCCCTGCCCAACCTGGGCCAGGCTCTCACCACCCTCACACCCAAGAATTCCCTCCTAATGATGGCAAAGAACTTTTCACATCTCACCTACAACACCCACATACATGACAACCTGTTCAGTCCCTCTGGCAATCTCCACCCAGCCTGAAATGTCAAGGCAGACAGGAGTCAGAAATGATGCCCATGATGTGATCTCCAGCCTTGTTTAACCCTTGAATGTGGCCATTATTCCCAGTGGAATTCTGGAACACTCCAGTAGAACCCAAAGCTACAAGAAACAAGCAAACCAGGAGGTGAAGGCTCTTACATCCATGATCATTTTGCAGTTCTTGCATGGCCCAATCTGGCTGAAGAGCTGGAGGATGAGGGCTTCAGTCACATCTCTTGACAGGTTCCCCACGTAGCTATGGGATCAAACACAAAGTCAGGAGCCCTCGTCCATAACAGAGCAACCAAAACTGTTCCCCCCAGCACCCAAGGCACCAGGTTAGGCCACTGAAATAAAGCATGAGGCAGGATTATGTCCTGATCCATGGAGAGATGGGGTAGAAAATTGTCCTGGGGCCAAATGTGGACAATTCCACCTACCAAATTGATTGCAGTGTCTAAAATGGAAGCTCTGATACCCACATGGCTCCCCAGCAGCCTCTCCCCAGCTGCCCATCTGGGCTCAGCAAGCACATCAGACCACATGAAGTTATTAATAAAGGATTTCTCATTTGAAAGCATCACACCTGCCTGAAGCAAGTGAGGACAAACACACTCAAGTGTGGGCACTGCCCTGTCCCCCTCCAGTTGACAAGGCCCATCCTCCTCGGGCACAACCAGAACCCAAACCCCAAAATCCTTGGGGACTTTGGCCTTCTCAGCCCTCAGGATCCACAGGTGGGTTGGTTGTGGTTGTTGTTGTTGAGCCCAAGTCATGGGATTTTTAAAAAAAGCCCAGTGAGAAACCTCAGCTCCAAAGGTGGGGCAGCTCCCTCTCCACAGAGGAGTGTTGTGTGGCAGGGAAGAACCACTTGGGGAAACCACAGTGAGGAACCAGCAGCTCCTCCTTCCCTGGGCTCAGGGCAGGAAAACCAGGGACTTCTTGGGCTCCTCCTGGTGACAGGAGCTGCCAGAAGCCCTGCTGGAGGGATGGATGAGCTCCAAGGTGTGGTTTTGCAGCAGAGAAGGGGGGAACAGCAACGAGCTGGTGAGCTCAGTGCTGATAATGTGAGCAGCTCCTTCAGGTAGGGGCCAGAATCCTGCTGCTCTTTACAACCCACACCAGCTCCACCAGAGTCACAGGCATCCTCTCAATTAACAACAGCCTCCCAATTAACAACAGAATCCCTGCACTTCTGACCAGGTCTTAAAGAGAGGAGGGTTTAGTGCAGTTCATTAAGGCAATTAACTTTGTGCTTGATAACACCAGAACATTCCACCACTATGACTTACATTTTCCATCTCTTTTCTTTAACTATCTTTTACTTACTATCTCTTAACTAACTTTTACCATCAACCTTTGGATAATGAATAAGCTGAGGCACTAAATCAATGATCTCCCCACGTCATATTCCGGGTCTAAGTTTATTATCAGCTTATTTATTTGCAACAGAAAGTTTCCTGGACCTTTGTACCCACGCTGGATTTTCACTCCCATAATCAGGCATCTCCTGAAGCATTCCCTGGATTTAGCTGGAAAAAGCTGGATTTAGGATCTCCTGTCCTCTCCTGCACCTTTCCCACCTCTCCTTTGTCCTGCTAATTGGGTTGATTCTTTGAAGAACTCCTCCAACAGCCCCATTCCCAACACCAAACTCCTCAGCACTTCTACCTCTTTTTAGCCACCTAATATTCCCCAAGATCTAGGTGGAAAATACAAACAAGAGGGCTTTGTAAACTCAACAAACACTGTCTGCCTTGTGACTGCTCTTCAGATTTATAATCTCTGCCTTGAAGAGTGGCTTTCAAGGAAAGCCAGGTGAAAATGAGCTGCCTCTCCAGGAAATGATTTACATAAGTCATGCAGCTCCACGTGTGCTTTGGAGTGTAAAGGCTCCAGCACCTCCCTTCAAAGAAACATGGAAATGGCAACAAAAAAACCCAAGTTACATCCACCAAAGTCTGGAATCTGTTCCAGAAAAACAACTTTCAACGTGCTAAGGGAAGTGAAGACCAAGGCAGGGGGGGTTGCAGAGCATTTTGGTGGCCCCTCAGGGCACAGCAAGACAATGGATCCTGTAGCTCACATCCAGGTGGGGGTTTCTGTGGAATACTCACAGAACCATGGAATCACAGGATGGTAAAGGTGGGAAGGGAACCTTAAAGATCAGGTTCCAACCTCCCTGCAATGAGCAGGGCCACCTCCCACTAGGGCAGGCTGCACAAAGCCTCCTGCAAGCAAATATTTACCACACATTTCAGCCCTGAGACCTGGAAGGCTGTTCTTTTTAGCTGCTTCTTCTACCTTCAAGCTGCTCGAAATTCAGCTGGTGACAAATTTCAGAGAAAAACACCCTGCTGGGAACATTGCTCAATACTCCCCAAGTTCTGCAGCTCAGAAACCAGAAGCATTTGTGCAACGAGCCACACGTGTGCTCCAGGACACACAATTCTTCCCCTCATTCCATGCCCAGACCACTTTAAAACTCCAGACAACCACCTCCTTGGGATGGGGGGGAGGAGGAGGGGGATATTCTTCTAAATAAACACTCAACAAGGTCTGAGCCATGTTTGTACACACCAAGAATAGTTCCAAAAATACACAGTTAAGGAGACAAGGGGACGATATACACAGGGAGGCAGACAAGAGTGTTTACTGCTCTGGAAAGTCTGGGCCAGAGGAGCTGGGAAAAGTCACGTAAGAGTCTTGTTTTCCTGCAGTTATTGATCAACCCTTGGGGAAGGTGCAGCTACGGAGGGAAAAAGTTTCCTCTCACCTTGGAGAGGCTCCCTCTCCTGCCTTTCCTCCCCCTCACTGAAGCAGAGAGCACAGCTTAGAGGTGGGATATTAAGGCTGGAGTGTGTGATGTTCCCTGATCTAAGGGAGGGAAATCACTCCAGGCAGAGAAAAGGAGGGGAACGGGCCGGGATGATGTGCAGGGGGGCTCTCCCTGTGCCTCCAGACACTGCCAGAGCACAGATCCCTCCTGACATCCCTCACACCGCCGGATAAAGCGGCTTGTAATTAGGCACCCGCTTGATGACTGAACCAGGAGCTGCCCCACAGCTCCGCTGAGCTCTCCGGGCAGGACCAGCGTGCTTGGAACACTTGGAGCAGGGCCCGTTTTGGCGGGGACCCCCCTTTTT